CACCTGGCATTGACCTTTTGGCTTCCACCTGCACACACACACACACACACACACACACACACACACACCACATGTACAAAAAAGAGATGTACTGTGAAAGGGGAGAGCACAGTAACATTCTTGGAAAGTTCTTGAGAGGCTCATTGCTGTAGGGCAGAGATGAAGGTGAAATGCTGCGAAGAAGTAAAGAGCTATGGGTGGTACAGAAGCATATGGATCAGCCAGGCGAGTAAAGTCACAAGCAGAGCTATATAACCTGACACCTTAGACTCACTGGCCTTGGAGTCACTCTCATCTAGGACAAAAGCAGAGGCCAGGGCTGGAGAGAAGGCTCAGTGGTTAAGAGCACTGACTACTCTTGCAGAGGACCCGGGTTTGATTCCCAGCACCCACATGGTGGCTACAAACCGTCCTTAACTCCAGTTCCAGGGGAATCCGAAGCCCTCTTCTGACCTCTGCAGCATTGCATAACACGGGTGCACTCACAAACATGGAGGCAATAAATAAATAAAATATTTTTTTAAAAAGTAAAATTATTGGGCCGGGCATGGTGGCTCACGCCTTTAATCCCAGCACTCAGGAGGCAGAGGCAGGCGGAACTCTGTGAGTTCAAGGCCAGCCTGGGCTAAATAGTGAGTTCTCGGACAGCTGGGGCTACACGGAGACCCTGTCTCAAAAAGACCAAAAAAAAAAAAAAAAGTAAAATTATTAGAAAAAAAAAAAAAAGCAGAGGAAAACATGGCGGCGGGAGGGTGTGGGAGGGACACCCTGGGTCTCAGGAATATGTCCCGAAACATGGTTGCAATGCAGTGTCGCAATTCCTGGATGTGAGTCATTCCTGGATCCAAAGCCCTATACTGAGGGCCAATCCTGCTGGAAAACTCAAGGCCACACTCTCTTTCCCCCACTTCTCATAAAGGGAAGTACAACCTGTAGCCAAAATAGACATATCCTAGGGAAGGAGACATCACAGTTTCAGGGGTTGTTGGGCATTGGCTGGAAGATGATGGCTCTTACCAAATACTCTGATGCCCTAGAGTTCACTGGTCAGAGGTGGATTTTGGAGGTCAGGTGATGGATCATGTTTTGATTTTTGAGACTGGGTTTTGCTATGAGTCTATGGCCTCAGACTCATGGGCTCAAGTCACTGTCCTACCTTAACCTCTCCAGTGTTATAGTTGGGACTCTAGGTTTGCATCACCATGTGAGGATAAGACACTTATTTTGGATCACAATCCATCTTACAATGGACATAGTAGGTATGTGAATCTATCTTGTGTTGATTTACTGGTTCTCAGCCTGTTGACTCAACCCTCGAGGTGGGAAGTTGACAGAAGTCCTTGGTGTTCTTCTGTATCAATTGAAGAAATAGCAACTTTGACAGATAAAAAGCTCTGCACCTCAGTGGCATACAATTGGTATTTATTTCTTGTTCACATAAAGTCCATTTTGTAACACAGTTAAGGATGTTTCCTGCTTAGTGATTTAGGAACCCAACTAAAAGAATTATGT